CCCGATCGATCCTCTCGTACGAGAGAGAGAGAGAGAGAGAGAGAACTTGCATTATCCTGCGAGACACTTAAATTGCCGCTTGTTACACGGTGCCTGCGAGCCGCGAGCCATTGATCTTCCACGAGAGAATTAGCCGCTAAATTACGGACACCCTTTGGATCGAATTGGATCGTTGACTACCGACATGCTGCGCGGAATACCCGAACAGCCTAATTGAAAATCACTTTCACCCCGATTCAATTATGATAAAATGGTTAGCGGAAAAAGATCGCGCCGGAGATGCGTGCGGAAATAATTAAACGCATGGAGGCATTAAAATAACACCGATACAGAGACACGTCCGCATATTCGGAAGTCGAGTAAGATTTTTGTTGCTCCATTATCGAATTTGCATTATGAAATGCAGCCACTGCGCGCTATATAGCGTTTGATATATGCGCAGATAATTTGAATTCGCAGGTTAATTTGCTCGGTACTTTGCAGCAAAATGTAAATTTAAATACGCGTAATGTGAAATAAAATAAAATTTACTTATTCAGCATCGTTTAATCCCGTATTAAATATATATCTACGAAATGTGGCGGATCATATCTGACGCAAAAGTGCGTTACGTCAAAAATTAGCAGCGTGCTATCGGACGAATTAAGCTGAAATAAATTATGTCGAAAGCCGGATCAAGCATTAACGAATCGCATTGCAAAATAATTCGTGAACGCACGTTGCATAATTCTGCAAATACGTTGATCATTTTAATCAGTGGGAAAAATCAGGCAAAGCGAGCGCGCCAGGCTTGAAATAATACTCTCTTCTGTGAATCCAAATTCCGTTTTGCGAAAAATTAGATTCGATTCGTTTTACTCGCGTCTTTGTTCCCTCATTCGCACTTTTACATCTGCAGCATGCGAGTTTCAACTTCGTGCACGGTGATTTCCGGCAAATCGCGAACGTTCGACAGAGTCACTCGTCCACTCGCAACCGATTCAGGCAATCGGGGCTCGTTCTATTCGTGCCGGTCCGCCTTTGATTTACGACCCCGGGCCGACGGAATCGCTCAATCACCGCGGAATGACTGCTACGCTGAAGCGTCTAGAACGGACTATCTCGTTTCTGACTTGATCGTAGTGACCTGCGAGGTGTGTTCGCGTGCGCCACTTTGATGTCGTTTCTCTCGCGACAACGACACTGCTTACTGCAGTCGCAACGGCGTCCCCGAATCGATCGTATTGCCACTATGGATTAGTTTGAGTTACTAATGAATAATAGATCGAGAAATAAAACGTTAGACAAAACAAACGAAATCGATGCCATTTCTTATTCATAGAGCGACCGGAAGTCACTTCGCAAAGCCGATAATACCGGCGTTGGAATATTTAACTCCTCCTAATGTAAATAGGTATTTTTTCCTTATTGCATCAATAATATAATATCAAAAAATATATTCTATATCGTAATATTAATATCCTATATCATAATCATTGTATTTTTTACAAATATATTTACGAATTGACATTTTTCCTCGAAATATCATTTGCTGTAATAATAATTTCTCTTATGATTTTTTCGTACGGTTCTCAAATTATCAAATTTTACAAAAATCGTCCCGAACTAATTACGATCCGAGATACACGCTTTCAAAATACATCGCAAAATGTGCTCATTTCCCGATGACTTTTATTTCTGCTCCTCTACACTTCAACGCCTTCCACGCCAGGCTTATCTCGCTTATCGCGGTGCGCCAGCCCCGGGTGCCGGAATCAATCCGATAACGCCGGTCTGATGAGATATCAAGCCGGGGCGGTTCGTGCCGGCGCGATCGGCGCACTCGATAAACACGACAATAAAGAATCCCGCCAGGTCCGACTACATTGGCGTGTCGAATCGACGATGACAGAATCGATCGCGGATGTAGAGTTGCGAGCGCGCCGGGAGCAGCGCGTGCCGTACATCGTCGGGGGCCAAATCCTTTATATTGACCACGTCGACAATCGCCCGGTGCATCGACGGGTAATTGAAGGTTGTATGAGGGGGAGGACGGAGAGAAATGTTATAAGCCCGCTCGCGGTCGGACAAAGGCTACGCGGGGGCCGGCACGGAGAATTAACGAATCGATCGGCAATTAACATGCTCATTTTACCGGGCAATCGAGGCGAGTCGGGGAACCGACGTAATTGCATCGTAATTATGGCGCATACCGCATTGTCCTCGCGCATTGTATACATAAACAGCTGAAGATTAATTAAAGCAGAATAAAATCGGGCCGGCGACGCTGCGTTCTCGAAAAGAATGCAATCTATATATATGCGGAGTAATAAAAAAGACATCGGCTACGGTTTCAAATTTGACATCGGGTAGAATGCGCGGAAATCAATTTTGGAAACAGCAACTGGATATTCAGAAACCAAGATATACATAGTTAAATAAAATCCATTTTAAAATTTGCTGTACGACAGTGTAAGAGAATCTTTTGTAATGAAAATAAAAGAGAGAAAAAAAACAGGAGGCAAGGAAAATTTTAAAAGCGAGTGGAAGATGTTGCTTTCCTGAGAGAACGAGATAACTGAGCTTGAGTGTTGCGTACAAAACGGAAATGAATCTTTGGCGACTGGTTATAGAGATGGTAAAGAGAGAGTAAACGAACGATACCCATTCTCCTTCGCGGAGGGAATAGATGTTGTGCGACGGAAACCACAGGGGAGAAACGCGAGTACCAATGTAGGAATACGTACTTCCGATATCCGTCGGTGTGTAATGCCGGCCGCACAATCGCCACCACCATCGCCACCATCAACAAGGATTGTTTGGTGGCGAAGTTGAAGTGTTTGGTGAAACTTGTATGTAATGTTTAAAGAACGTAACTTTTCACTTAAATAATACTATTAAAATAGTATGATTTGACACATTCACCGCCATAACGGCCACTGGTAACCGACACTGAATTTTTTACGCTTTGTCGATCACCGGTGACCGTTATATAGAAGAAGTCTAATATCACATTGCATATCAGATTTTTGTGCAACTCAATTAATTAAATATTTCATTGTTCTTGTTAATATAAAATCATCTAACTGACGTGAATAACGGAAAGTCAAAAATACGCCTGTCGGTGAATGTGTTAACTATCCCATCTGAAGAAGGACGAGAGAACCGGTGAATCTCATAGATCGTGAAATTTCCTTGCGAATGCAGTTGTGCCGATATCATGCATACGTAGATTTTACGCCTGTTTTATTGCCGTCGCATATACTTCGCGTGTTCGTTTTACGAATTGCAGCTGTGCACGTTCGTCGCGCTCGGATTTTTGCCGCGCGATGGAATTTCGCTATATCCGCTGCAGAGTCGGAAGCAGTACCGTCGTACTTTCTTGTCAAAACAATGCGGGATCCGCATGCCACGAAAGAACATTTATACGTTCAGGGGAATACAATGCTCCGTATATAGTATATATGGACTGGAAGTGGAAAGGTCCTCGCGCTCGTTTTGTGGCTTTCGGCACAAATAACATTTTAAGGATCGCTGCAATTTTAGTCACCGCGACCTTTTTCCTCGCGGCCGTTTAAATAATTTAGTTATTTAAATGAATGTGGGGAAAAATCTTTACGATTAGATAACTTTAAACGATTAGATTTCGAAAAGAGTGAACATCGAAGCGTATCATTTTTCCTGTTTCCTGCACTTTCAAGTTTTAGACTGAGATCGATTCTCCCCATTCCAAGGATATCGGAGTCTCGCCGCATGATTCGCCATGAGTTACGTGACGAAGTTTCGAAGTTCGGCATTATCGATCTAAGAAATTTGCGAATCTTCGTAATTCGCGCGAGGATGACGCGCCTGAAAAGTACATTAACGAACGCAATTTACGACCTAGCTGCGCGACGCTGTCGCGCGATATGCAAACGTTCGATTACACCGGAGATGCATCAAGTTTAAATTGAATAATGTTCCGTTCCGCAAAATGAGCCTCCATCGTCCGATAACACCGCGGCAATGATAATATATAATTCAATTAATGTCCCATGCGCGCGACGGAATACGTTCATTCTAGTTTGCTGCTCTCGCCGCATGTTGGTACCCTCTTCAGTTGTTTTTTCCTGGCTCGCATCATGATCTCGCTAATACTCCCTTGCCGGCGCGTGTAACTTTATGGCCGCTACATCCACATTGATGATTTTCCCGCAGCACGCGTTTTACCGCGTCGGCGAGTTAGCGAAATATCGTAATCCGAAATACGTTTCTCTGTCTTTCTCCCTCTTTCGGTTGGTGAAACACGGAAATATGTGTACACAGAGTATCCCGCTTTTACCGTTAATATCCCAAAATGTACATCTTTTAGTGTAATTTATGCTGACTATTTACAGAACCGTATAGAAACGTAGTAATGGCCGGTAGCTGCCGGTTCCATTATTGCCATTTATCCACTAATCCCATTAATACCCCGAAAGGTATATATTAATTTTCGATGTAATACTTTTTATCTCTCCCCGACGTTGGATATAAACCCGGTCACGCTTGATGAAATACACGCTCATATGCGATACACACGCGTGCAATTATTATGGATACATTCGGATCTGAGCCATTTATGTTCTTTATCATTCATTTGCGCTTTTCCATCGAGGGTATTAATGGCAACGTTGCCGCGGGAGCATTTTTAATTTAAACTGTTCTATGATATCGCTGCTAATTGATTCGATACATTTCATAAATAATAGCCATAAGCACCGGTTTTTTTTTCTTTTTGGTACATTGATTATACTACATTCGCCGCGCTTATCTTCCCGAATACGAGTATTTTCACACATTAGCGGAAGGAATTGCGTTCGTATATCATCAACCTCCTCGGATCGAACGTAAACTTTCATATTGTATCATTTTATGTTATCTCGCGCTCGGCGGCAAAATTGCATTTTCGATTCCACGCCGCCACTAACATATTCGTCACGCGGATAGCAAGTGCAAACTACTAGAAAGAAAAACTACGTATCTTAGGAAATATCGCGTACCTGGGTATTCCTCGTATATCCATATCCCATAAACCTTTCATCGTGAGGTGGCACGATATCCTTTGCCACGTAAAATGGCTCATAAAGAAATTCGAAATTCGTCACATCGTGACTAATGTAGACCTTGCCCGTCTTTACATTTTCATGATGTAGATGGTTCGGTGACACGTCCTGCAGCCACCTATGAAATAAAAAGACTTTAAACATCTATGCGCTACGTACCGTCCAAAATTTTATATTTTTGATTAACTTTATATTTTATACATACAAAATTACGAGGTGCGTATATATAAAATTAAAAAAATAATCTCTGAATAACGGCAAAATTGTCAAATTATTATCAACAAATTATTATTGAAATCGTACAAATAATATAACTTGTAAAAAAACCATTATGAATTCATGAATTGTCACGTTGGCATTCAATCAATTTCAATCAACGAGTACCAAATCGATTAGTATTTTAATTGTTTTCAATTAATTAAAGCTAACACAATTTCAAGAACTTTATAAAAAATTAATAGGTTATTATTGTTATTAAACAATGTATTTAATATAAAATGTCATTTACCTTGTAAAATTCGTGGCAAACTGATTGTGTATGAAAACTTTCTGGTGGAATGGTCTGGCCAAGCCTTTCCTGGCGAGCCTGATCAGCTCCGTCTTATTTGGGGGAAACCTCACGCGCGTGTCCAACTCGTACGTGGGTATTACATAGGCGCACTTATCACAGTTGTCATTTCTGAGGAACTCGTCGAGTACGATCGTCAGATTGAAGCTCGGCACGATGTCGACGTCCGTTAGAAACACGTAGTCCGTCTGGCAGTTTTTGCGCGCTAGGTTCCGCATGTGGTTCTGCGGATAGACGTTCCGTATCCGCCAATTGGTCTGCTCGTTGGGCACGCGGGTCATGAGCTCGTTGAGCGTGGCTTCCGGTTTGGCACAGTCGACGATGTCCGGTAGTTCAAAGACGCGCGGTTGCTTCTTGGGCGTTCGCATCCTTGGCACGGCTAGGGAGAAGACCACTCTCTCTCTGATAGACTCGTAGCATCTCCTCAGGTACACCAGGTAACGCTGCAACACCTCGAACTCTTCGTCGCCGGCGGCATAGAGCGCGACGGACATCGGCCCGGTCCAGTGCAGGGCGACCTGTACCAGCGAATGTAACTTCTCCACGGAGCTCTGGGTAGCCAGACATACCCGATAAGTTTGCGAGAGCTCGGTGAATCTGTTGCCGACCAGCACCGAGTCGAACGTCCGGAATATTCGCCGGGCGTCCCATCTGCCGAGCTTAATATCCAGCTTGAGACTGTTAGCGTCAGGTGACGTGGGCTGGTAATCCTGGGTGATGCATTCCGACTGTTGCTCGTGCTTGACGAGGGTGCCGAGATTCCATTCGGTGACGGCGCTCACCTCCACTTCCCGCGGGATCGCTTCCGGCGCGCAGGTCTCCGATTGCAGCAGCAAAAACGTCAGCAGCATGTTCGACAGCGCCAGGATGATCACGCTCGTCAAACTGAGATTCCATGGCCGGCATCCCAGCTAGAAGAAAAAAACGAACATACGGACTCTGATCGCGTGTATCGTTCGCGTCGTTTTGCGCGGATATCATCTTAGAGTTCAGATTTCGACTTCAAAAATATGCAAGAGTGATTTCTGACTGATGATTAGACAGTTTGGTGGATCAGCAATGTAAGGTGTCCACAATTTTGGAAACAAAAAAATTAGGATTGATACATTTTACGTATATGTATATCTTCCATGTATCAAGAATTAAACTCACCAGAATGATATTAGTCTCGATAATATAGCAATGATATATAAAACAAAGTGATAATATATGCTACGATAATTATAAAAGCTCTGCCACGAGACGTAAGTTATCGTCGAATTACCATTTTCGTGCTCGAGGAACGAGACGAAGTCGCTGAAAACATGACATAGAAAATAATCGTGAGGCGAATATCGTGTGTTCTCTCGTCATAACGTGTTCGCGTTAAGACCAAGGAGTAGCTCCCTTCATCGTGGCGCGTTTTATGTTCGCCATTTATTCTTCCAGAACCGCGAGGCACAATGTGTCGCCGGCTAGCGTGAATAATTTCATAGAGATACGTGAGCGGAATAAAACGGACGGTGGCGAGATGAGGCCGGCGTATAACGACGAATCTTGCATTAGTCCCCGGTGGCGGACTAACGCCTCGAGAAAGATTACTCCGAATAAAGCGAATTCTTTATATAAAAACAGTCGGAGCACGTGTAAAGTTTGTTATTTATTTGTAGCAGATAATTTGTACGTAAAATACGCGAGGATGGTTCAAATATAAATGGGAATTTGTTTCTATACATGTTATGTGCAACACCACCGGAATGTTTCATATACTATTATTCAATATAATTCCCCTCGACTGCAATACATTGTTTCATCGTTTTAAAAGCTTCCTGATTTCTCAATCAAAGAAGGTTTTAGGTAGCTTGTCAAATCAGTAGCTTGGTCGCCGAGCATAAGGTTTATTTTTTTTTTCCACACGATTTCTCCCTTCTCAAAATAATTTTGTTCAATCGTACACTCTCTTGTCTGTAACAAACATTCATTATGAAACTGTGCTTAAAGTCTGATTAAAATTTCAAAAGGATTGATCCCTTTATTCGAGAGAAATTTGATAATTATTCGCGCAACATTATTTGGCATTACTCACTCAATCATTGTGACAGCATCTGACTGATGACTTTGTGAAGACGCGGATTGTTACGACCTGCAAGATATGGCCTGTCAGAACGCATTACAACATGCAAGGCGACACAGATTGATTAGACCGGGAAAGTGAACTTTTCAACTTACATTTCCGTTTATATTTGAACCACCCTCGTATGTTCGTTTGCTCAAAAAAGCACAGTTTACTTCGCGGAATAATTTAATTAAAGATATTAATTTTTTTAATCAGATACAAAAAATAAGAAAATGTACAATTCAGCATTTTGTTGTTTAGTCGTGCAGCTGCTATAATTTCGAAAAATGATTAGCTTTGAAACTAAAAAAAATCGCTCGTGTGACTAGAATACGAGACTAAAGCAAACAGCAGGAAAATACACCTGGTAAAGTGCAGTCAAGCACGCGCGCATTGTTCTACACCTTCTCTGAACGTATCAAAATGTGTAATCGGATTATATCCTTCGCACGTATTTGCGAGAGAAGTCAAGAAAGTCAAGCAAGGTGCGTTTAAACTGGGGATATTTCGCTCTCTTCTATAAATAGGGAGATTACCGTCGCACGCATTGGGGTAATTTCAGAAAAACATGGCCAAAAGCATAGTTTTTGTTCAAAAGTAAGGAAAAGAAGGTGCAATATGTATTCGAATATTTTACTTTCAATGTATTTTGAATTTAAATAATGGTGAGGCTATAAGAAACATTATTTATTATCTTCTTAAAATTACAACTAAATATTTTATGGATGTCATTTTATAATATGCACTAAATTTAAATAAAAAATGATTGCATAAAAATATAAACTTTAATATTTGTGATATATAGGTATACTGAAAGAATTAATTACATATATCAGAATTAATGTAATTATACTATCATAAAAGATACAAATTCAAAACATCCTTTTAGTATTCTATTTAAATGCCTACAATATACTCTCACATAAATTTCGAAAATATTTTTTATCTATAGAGAGATAAAAGATCTTTTCCTACGCATGAAATAAAGTATTTTCTTTTTTTAAATTATACATTCGAATCACTTGTGCGAATAATCCTACAGATCTATAATAGGTCATTTTTAAATAATAATACAATACAGTTACATAACTTCACTAATTAAATTCATGAAATAGAAACGCAATTTCAAAAACACAAAATTCGCAACTTCATATTTTGGCTCTTAGCCAAATATTTTTAGAAAGTTTTTACAAAAATACCTCACTGTGCGACGTTCTAAGTGAGGAACTTACGATAACATTGCAACGGCTGAAGTTGTTTTTAAACAAACTCATGGAAGTGGTTCGGTCACCGGCGAAAGTGCCGAACTGCCGAACAACTTACTGACAACAGTCTGTTGTGACTGTCGAGTGCAGAGCAAGGACCGCTTTACCGTCCTAATTATCGTGAGTCTGTTATCCGACAGAACCCTTTGTAAAAATCAGTGTCAGTCCTATAACAAGATAACAGGGACGACAGCATCGAACGTCGAAAACTAGGCATGGGATCAAGATTAAATCAAGTTTCATTTTTTTTTAATTTGAGTAATATTCATAAGAAATAATATTTCACTGTTCTTGCGAAGTAATCGAATCCCGATTAGTTAGTTTCAAATTTTAGAATAAGTGCCCGCAGGATTCGAAATGTACTTATAAGTAATTTTTATCGTAACGAACTGAATCTTTTACAAGTAGTAAAGCAGTTCAAATATATTTCAATATAATATATAAGTTACCATATATAAAATTGTAATAAAGATATAATTGTGTGTGTGTATATACACACACACACATTATGTTTCGCACATTTAATTTCTAATAAAGTACTCGTAAAAAGTTCGAACATATATCCGGCTCGAGTTTATTTAGAATTAACACTCTTGTTTTTCGAGGAACTCATAAAGGGTTCGAACCCTTTCGTCCAAGTTTGAGTATACTTGAAGTATTGTTTTTATTTTTCGAAGTAATCATAGAGAGTTCGAAACTATGCCAACAGATTCGAACCTACATGTAAGATACTTAATCCAATTACTATCGAAAACAATGAAAAAGACAAAAGCGAACGAGAAATATCTGTTTTTTTTTTGTTTAGTTACTGTCTTGATATAAAATATTTTCTCTGCAAAACCAATCAATACAAAAATAACATAAAATAAGAATTATAAAATGTCCAAGGAATGAATTTTTATTTCTATATCATAATCACAATTGTAAACTGATGTAACATCTTGTCTAATCAGGTAGAAAAATGCAATCACTGTACAGCTCTCGTAGAACAGACGTCGACTTGCTTTTCCTCAGAGCAAGTGAAATCTCCAATATTTCGTTCTCAATTTGCCGCGGATAAAACAATACGAGAGGCCCTGGGGAACCTTAACTTTTTAAGTTGCTTTTAAAATAATCCAAAAATTCTTTCCTGTTTAATATCGTCATTTTAATATGAACCTAGTTTCGTATTTCTCTTTATATTTTTATCTTTGTAATGAATAATTTAAAAACCCAGCTGAGACTTGCCCTTACTGTTCTAGTAAGGATTCCGGGATGAAATGCGATGCTGAAACTTGGTGCGTATCGAGTTACCCACCCTGAAATGTCGAACGCTCCAATACTGGCCCTCGGCAAAAATCGCTAAACCGCGGCGAACCACTCGACGCGGAAAATCCGCCCTAATGCGCCTTGGGGGAACAATGTGCATCGCGGGCATAAAGGTCGGTCATAAGTATCCCGCCGCAGCAAGTTCCGCGCCGAGGGCAAAGGGCGGCCATGGCGTTACCTACTAACTGCAAACCCACCGAAAATTATATACACACCGATAAGAACTTCGCGGGGCAACCCTTCCTCGCACCGCGCCCCACGTGCTCACCCGCTTTCCATCTGGATGTTCAACCGGCGGAACTAACACCCGAGGTAAGATCTTCGCGCCCGAGGGATATAAATCATTCCTCCTTCTCCATTTCCTTCCCCCGTTCTCTCCGGGCCCCCTCAACCATCCCGCATCGACCTGCGGCCTCACCGACGGACAAACGTTGGCTATTCGGAACGTGCGGTGGTCGTCTTTTCGAGCGCGAGCGCGGGGAGGTCTCGAGTGGAAATGCATCTTCTGGAGGAGCCTTGACCGACTTTGAGGAAGCGGATATCGAATGCATTAGGGTGCGAAACGAGTCGCTCGCATAATGTACTCACTCGCGCGATGTTACCCTCCCGCGAGTTACAGCTTGTATGCGGAACGCGCGCGCGTGTATGTATGTGTAACGCATGTATGCATACCGCAACGCATTACACGCCGTTCCTCTCGCGGGACAAGCTGTACTCGATGGGTATGGCAAGCGCAAATGTTTGACGATTCGAAGGCGCATCCAGCGCGGTACGTCAACCCGACGACGTCGCGTCGACGGGAAACCGGCGGGAACGACGACATTTTCGACGATATTCCGTGTGTTATCTTAGCGAGCAGGTGTGGAATCATGAATAAGAACGAAGTTTCTGTCGTTTTCCTTAACTCTTTTAACTCCGTCGATTATAAATTTAATGGATTTCACCCGACACGTTTACATCTGATGTAATAATTGAGTGAAATAGTTTCAATTTTCAACGTAGATTGCAGACAGCACGTTTGCACGCGCGTTCTAATTTAAAATTACCAGCCGCCAATAAAATTATCGCAATTATAAGTACCGCGCGGCTGCACTATTGAGAAAACAAAATGTTAACATGCGAATTAATTGCTTAATACCGTTGCCTCAATACTGGCGAACGGCCGGTGCAGTTTTATTATGCTATCGAGCTTTTCGTTTGTAACACGCCCACAAAGCAGTAACGTACACAGTTGCGCTTGTTT